TATTATTATAGAATTCAACTTCCATTAGGAAGCGATTTACGTGGTAATAATTTTCGAAAATATTGGCATAAATAGAAATCGTACTCTCAACACTTTCTCAGCTTTCTCACCATAGAATTTTTTTTTTTGCATATATAAAAAAGAATCATAAAATACCAATTATGAAAATAGTTCGGTACTAAAATTGAATTAATGTGCGAATATGATGGTAAAATTATATGTATTCCATCAATATGAGATGCTTTAACTCTTGAGAATTGGTTGTGACTATTCAGCAATGAATCTCATGGTATATACTGTATTTATATATGTATGTACACTATACATAACGTCTTTTGCTGGTCTTTTCTCTCCTTCTCTCTTTCTCTCAATGTCTTTGAAAATGAATGTACTGCTCTTTATAGCTATGGTGAGCTAGCAATTTCTCTGCAGACTCGTGCAAAAATCAAACTACAAGATAAGACAGAAGCAAAACTTCAAGGATCTTTTATTTCTCATCTTCATTCTTCGTAAATTCTTCTTTTAACGGTACAAAAAAAAATTTATTTCAAAGAAAAACGATTTTTTTTGGTTTTTAAAAAGATTAATTTTCAAAAACATTCATTTTCACAGAAAATTAAAAGGCATTAAAATAAGCTGCTATTATTTTAATACAATTTTGCTTATTTTAATCCATTTTGGTATTAAAATAAGCAAAAATTGGATTAAAATAATAGCAGCTTATTTTAATGCCTTTTAATTTTCTGTGTTACATCTGCAATAATAGTAAATCTATTAAAAATTAAAGTAAATTTTATTAAAATCAAATCAAATAATTTAAAAACTCAATATTTTTGATTACTTTGTGTTATAGTTGAGGGTTAATTCTTATCGGTTTTAGCATTGGACAAAATCATCCGCAAAAAAAATCTTAAATTTTTTGGTTATAGCATTCATAAGAAAATTAAAAGGCATTAAAATAAGCTGCAACGCTTATTATTTTAATCCAATTTTGCTTATTTTAATCTATTTTGGTATTAAAATAAGCAAAATTGGATTAAAATAATAAGCGTTGCAGCTTATTTTAATACCTTATAATTTTCTGTGATACAAACAAAAGTAACAAAATTTGTCGTACGTTAAAAATTTGCAAAATCCTGATATATTATATAACTTTTCAAAATCTGCTACATAGATTATTCCAACAAGAATCATACCTAGTACAAACAAAATTTGTCGTACATTCAGAATTTGTCAAACAAACCCTTAAATACACAGAAAATTAAAAGGCATTAAAATAAGCTGCAACGCTTATTATTTTAATTTAATTTTGCTTATTTTAATCCATTTTGGTATATTAAAATAAGCAAAATTGGATTAAAATAATAAGCGTTGCAGCTTATTTTAATGCCTTTTAATTTTCTGTGATACATCTGCAATAATAGTAAACCTATTAAAAATTAAAGTAAATTTTATTAAAATCAAACTAAATAATTTAAAAACTCAATATTTTTGATTACTTTGTGTTAGTTGAGGGTTAATTCTTATCGGTTTTAGCATTGGATAAAATCATCCACAAAAAGAAAATAACACTTCTTAAATTTTTTGGTTATAGCATTCATAGAAAATTAAAAGGCATTAAAATATGCTGCAACATTATTTTAATCCAATTTTGCTTATTTTTTAATACCAAAATAGATTAAAATAAGTAAAATTGGATTAAAATAATAAGCGTTGCAGCTGATTTTAATGCCTTTTAATTTTCTATATTGTTACTTATTAAATACGAAAAATTTTCTGCTACTAATAAAATATTTCTTAAATTGAATTAGATGAAAAAAAAAAATGTCGATTTTCCTTTTTCATGATAGATCCCTTTGTAGTGACGCCACTGTATTCTCTGGACCGGTATTCTCTTCTGGGGCTCTGGGCAGTATTTTACAACAACACAAACGATGGTGTGTATACGGTGTTACATCCTTATGGTGGGAGGTACCTATGATGGTGAGAGTCCAAGAGGTGCCTCGAGGGCACTTTTGCTACTCTCGTGCTCTCGTGCCACGTTCTTCTCTTCATGCTAACTTGTTTCCTATCCTCTTTCTTCTTTTTATTCTTCAAAACCCCAATGCCTTAACAATGGACAACTGTACGCTCGCGAGAATACCTGCCAAAAACTGTGCAGTCAAATTCGCACCACACTTTGAAAAATAGTCTCTTCATAATTCTCCCTTATAAAATCCAATTTTTGTTACCAACATCTGTATTTCTACTTTATTCATGGTATTTTTCCTTTAGGGTAAAAAGTTTGTTGTTTACGATTCTTTATATCCTTAATGCCTCAAAAATTATTCGGATAATATTATATATTACAAAAATAGTTAATGCTTTATGTTTCCATATTGCAATTTCATTTTTCGCAAATTTTTTTACACCGAATCCATTAGGTTTAAATTATATAGTTACCACGAAAGAAGAAGAGAAAAATTTACACCTTGGTAATCTTCTTTTTCTAGATAATTCTCATATACTTATTTTATCATAATAGTTCCAAGAGCTACAAAATTTATATATGAATTCCCAAAGCAAAAATATCCGAATTTTGTAAATTAGAAATATTTCTGAATTTTTCTTCAGATAATTCTTTTTTTTTTTCTTTTTTTTTCTTGACGGTTTCCCAGAACCAGCATCCCAGGTGAAATGCATCTTAAGATCATAAGATCCTCTCTATAACCAATTCTCCGAGAGAGCTTCTCGTGCACTTTATCTGATCTTTACCCGCACAGCAATGCGAAACGAAGAATTCTTCGAAGCATCGTTTCACGTTTCGAAAAACAGTTCTCGTGAACATTGTTCTAGATAAAAATGTTTTGACATTTCCCATCGAAAGTGCAAAAATTACATTCAAAATTTACGATTGAAAAATATTTTCTGTGTTTGAAATTCACTCTTTTTTTTGAGAGTGATTAAAAATTAGCAACGCGGAATTATAATCCATGAAAAGAAACAATGAATTCAACATATTTTGTAGACGTTGACAAATGTTTAAATGTTCGCCTTGAATTTTGTGGTGGGTATTGTTTTGACGAATGTAACTTTCTGTTAACGCTTTTTTTTTGGGGTGTCTCGCACTCCTGTGGCGTAGGTCACCATCTACCAAACAATGGAGCATGGATAGTGAAACCACTTGAAGCCAACAATGGTATATATATATATATATATATATATATATATATATATATATATATATATATATATATTCTACCAAAAAAAGCAGTGCGGGACTAACTTTTAGAGAGGGTGGATCCTCTTGAAGTCGGTATACATCACAAAAACTATTTTCTCAGGTATAAAAGGCACCTGCTGCATTCTAAAAATTTTTTTTGAAAATATCCACACACACAAAATTATGCCACGCGCGATGATATATTCAAAATTAGTTTTTACAGAAGGTTTCCTTGAATTTTTTTAAAAATAATAATAGATTTTTGTGCTCTCAATGGATGGCAACCGAAATTTTTTTGGGTTCCTTAAAAAATTTGGAGTTTTAATGCCAAAAATTAGGTTTCGGTTTCTGAAAAATTTACCCTTTTTTTTGTCGCCTAACTAACCTAACCTAAAAATTTTGTTTGTTTACTTTCATAAATAGTACAAATCAAAACCATTTGAAAAAAAAATTTTCATTAAAAACCGAAAAAAAGACAAAGAATTTCGAAATCAGTTTGAAAATTTTTAAAATTTATTCTCAAAAATTTTCAGATGTTTCGGTTATTGATTTTGGTTTTCAATTGCTGTTGCAATTTTTTTTTTTTTTTTGGATTAAAACAATAATGGAAATAAAAATGATAAATTAAAAAAGTATTTTTGAAAGACCGGACAAAAAGGTTCATTTTCGAAGTGTTTGTTACATTGTCAACATATATGGGATGAAAAGATCTTTTTTTCGCTAAGGCTCTGCATAAAAGCAGGACATCATTGTTCAACCTCACTCCTCCTAATGGGCTTTTACTAAGAAGATCTTGTTTGAGTCTTTATCACTACTGCCTCCTTTTTTTACCAAAAAAAAAAATCCTCTACATAAAAAAGTCAACTTACACTTAAATTTCTGTTCTTTCTGTTAATAATTCTGAAACTAAGACCACTATCTTGAATATTACACAGAAAATTAAAAGGCATTAAAATAAACTGCAAATTATTTTAATCCAATTTTGCTTATTTTAATACATTTTGGTATTAAAATAAGCAAAATTGGATTAAAATAATAACTTATTTTAATGCCTTTTAATTTTCTGTGTATCCACTCTCTAAAATCAGTAAAAATTGCCGTAATTTTTTACATCAAAAATAGTATTTACTATTTTCGAAATAATTTTTACTAAAGAAGTAAAATTTTACTATTTTCAGAGTAAAATTATACTATTTTTGGAGTAAAAAAAAATTGCTAGAAATGCGCAGTAACTAAGGACAGTTTTTACTTTTTAAGTTAGTAAAAGTTAATTAGTTCTTTCCATTTTTCTCCGTGTACTAATTCAAAAGCCAATGGAAATTCAGTTAAAATTTAGAGAGAGCATTGTCTATACTTCAGGAATAGAAACGAAATTCTAAACTGTAATGACAAATTATACAACACTAAAAGAAAAATGTAGGTGTATACCTAACTGTTCATTTTACTACAAACATGTTTATAAGATCTAAATATAAATAAATTTACATTATTATTGACATTATAATACATATATACAAGTAATACGGAGAAATATGAAAAGGAATATACCTGTAGCAATATTACCTGAAAAAGCAAAGCAAAGGTCTCTCTCTCTCTCTCTCTCTCTCTTCTTTTTTTTCTCTCCGAAAGAAGTGGAGGGGAAGTATAAGAGAAGCTGTCTTCTGGTCCGTCTGGCAAGGAATAAGGGGAATAAAAGTTGGAGGTGGAAAAAGTGGAGGTGGACCTTGTGCCTCTCGAGGAGGTGGAAGGTAAGAAGGGGCCTCACCAGGAGGTTAGAGAGGGTGTGAGAGGGGGATTATGCCCAGCGTGGACCTACGTTGTTGCATGCTCAACCTGGAGACTTGCTCGGCAAGGTGAGACGCGCGGTTCAAGAGTATATTTTCGTCACAAATATACAAAAACAAACCCATTTTTTTCTAAATAATCAATACAAAATATAAACTTAATTAATTTTAAAATCAAATACCACTACTGTACTTATTTAACGATAGTGCTATCAGTTCTTGTGCCTTATCTTTAAGTGCCGTCTTGTTTGTTATTCGTACGTGAAGTTAAAATCACGTGTTGGAATTTTTTTTTAATGAAATACTGTTTTTGTTTTTTTTTAAGTGATATTTTCTAATTTATTGTGAATTTATTGTGAATGTTCGGGGAAATTAAAAGTGCAGTCTAAATGTCAAGTGGATTTATTGACAATCTAAGGGATTATGTGCAATTGGTGAGTTGCTGTTTCTGTATATTTGCTAATTTCTCGGTTCTTTAATTGACACGCCTTTCTAAATGGTGACATCGATTATTATTAATAATCTGATGATTAATATTTACAAAGTAAAAATCCTTTTTTTTTTTTTTGCTATGTGTTTGGCATGAAGATTGACATTGTCGTGAGATGAAATTTTTTCAAATTCCATTGGCGTTCGTGTGCACTTCTTTTGCGATCCTTCTCGTCCTCAAGGTCCTTCTTCGTCCGATCACGTTCGCTTCGTGATACGACTATTATTTCACATTGACATACCAATTAGGAAAAATTAAGAAACATACTTCAATCATGTCTTTTTATTAAAATTATATATGAATATTTAAAGACAAATTTGATAAATATGCCTCAAGTAAAATGTAAAATTACGCAAGTCAGGAATTTCTTCTTTTCTCGTTTGAGGACGAACGTTTCTCGGACGAGTAGTAATTCAAGAGACTTGAACGCCTGGATAAGAGGTTCGTAGCACGCGCTCACTTTTAGAATCCATTTGAAAAACGTCGTTCCCTCTCTCTCTCTCTCTCTCTCCACGTGATAATTTTTTTTTTTCAAAAAATACTCCGAAAAGAGTACAATTTACTCCGAGAGTAGTAAAATTCACTCCAAAAATAGTAAAATTTACTACTTCTGGAGTAAAAATTACTCTGAAATACGCAGAAATTCCAGACAGTTTAGGTTTTATCTTTTAAAATAGTAAAAAGTTAAAAAAAAAATTTTTTCCCAAAAAATACTCCGAAAAGAGTACAATTTACTCCGAGAGTAGTAAAATTCACTCCAAAAATAGTAAAATTTACTACTTCTGGAGTAAAAATTACTCTGTAATACGCAGAAATTCCAGACAGTTTAGGTTTTACCTTTTAAAATAGTAAAAAGTTAAAAAAAACAATAGTAAATGAAAAAAAAATCGTGACAATAACAGCATCGTTAAAATGGGGAAAAATTACACCCATTTTGTTTAAAGTTATAATTAAGAGAATTTAAAATGTTTTCCACTCATATAATTAACGCGAAATAATTTCTAAACCTGACAAAACGGTATAATTTGGTTTTTTTTCAGAAAAAATTAACACATTCCTAAGCCCTAATATCAAAATTGGTTAATTTTCTCTATGAAGGAATTTTATATAGAACTTTGTGGATTTATCCAAAAAAATTTAAACTAATTCTAGAAAATATTTCGGTAATTGCTTAAAAAATTATCTGCCGCTAATTATTGTAGGAATTTTTGAAATTTTCCAGTTTTATTTCCTTTGACACAAATAAAACTATTTCGTTCTAAATCCGTCGAGTTATTGCATAATGTAGAAAAAATTAGATATTTGTAAAAATTAAAAAATTTATCTTCCAAGATTCATGTTTTTTCAATCTAAAAGATCTAAAATTCACAGAATATTAAAATGTATTATTAAATTATTTAGCGTATTAAAAAGCGCTTACAGATTAATTTCCTTAGAAATCAAGAATATTTAAAAACTAAATTTTCCAAACGAAAAAATTGAATATTCACTTGAAATGTGGAAAAAAAAAAAATGAAACATGGAAGGACATTCATACAACGGCCTTGTCTGATGGCAAACGATTTATCGGCCGGTCGAACAAATTCTACCTGACGTGAACTTGGAGTGGTCTCGAAAAGTGTTTATAACCCAAGGGACTCTTCTTCTTTTTTTTTTTTCCCCTCTGACCACGAAACGCTGTGAAAATACATCCCTCGCGCCCCCTTAACCACTCAGAATTATTTCCAAGTCAGAATATTTAACTTGAGGGAGGAAAAAAATGGCTGTATCATTCCCGTCAGCTGTATTCTTCAGCAAAAATTTAAGAAAAGCTACACTAGGAGAAAAGTCATTAAAGTTAATTTAGTTATTTTTTCTGCATTTGAAAGAATTACTATATTTCTAGAGTAAAAATTATCAGAAATACGCAGAAACTACTACAGACAATTTTGATTTTACTTTTAAAGTATATTTGTTATAATATCTATAGAAAATAGTATATTAAATGCTTCAAAAGATCTTCGTTTCTATTCGAATTATTGTCGCGATAAAATTGAAAAATATCTTCTTCATTCTTATACATATATATTGACATTAACGTTTGTATGGCCGGCAATTAATTTTTGCTGCGAATTGCAAAAATTTTTCACGCTCAACCATCTTTGCAAGCCTTGAATTTATTGCCTAGTGATTAGCCAATATATTCAATATTACCTACTTGCACATCTCAAGAGATCCTGGAAGGTTCAAAGCCGAGCGAAAGGCAAAATCGTGACGTCATCACTGATATAAGAAATGAGGTTAGCGTTTATTATAAATTATTTTTTCAAAATTGAATTAATTTTTTTAAAAATTATGATTTAGTTGTGCATTCTTGATTTCTTTAATACTTTTATTTCAAGTTGAGTGTTGTGTATATAATGTCGTATATGTACTTTTTTATCGGTTAACTTTCTCTATTCGAAGAACTCGCTGCGACAGGCAAGATAAATGTATGTTTATACTGATATAGTCTAGATTGACTTAAGGTTTAGAAGCTCATAGTATAAGTACCAGTGCAAAGTATAATATTGCTTTTATAATAGCATTTTTAATTTAATACAAAAATATTTATTTTATCGTTCAATCATTTTTTTAATTAATGAAATAATCCTGATTGTTTGGTTGGCAAATGGAAGATTAAAAAAAAAAAGGATCTTTACAATGCATATTCGAGTTTCTTTTTTTTCGACCGCTAATGTGGAGAAAGTCCCGTTCGTTCGGGTAAATACACACTTTTACGTTTGGTATAAAACCTCGGCATATCGTTTTTTTTTTTCTTCAACATTTTGAAGACAATTATATATTGAAGAGAAAACCACTCTCGACGGTTTATTATATTTTCGCTGTTGCCATGGGAAGGGGGGGAAATGGAACTTTAAGGAAAGTATAATTTTTTTTCGGTACAGCGCAGATTAGAAAACAAATATTCAATTTTTTATTAGAAATTAAACCGGTTTTGAATTTCTTGCTCATGCAAGAAATTCAGATCGAATTCCCAAGCGCGGGGACTATCATGATCATTGGAGTCGTGGCTCGTGCTGACCCCAAGGATTAAGGGGGGGGCTTTGCTTTGCTACGCTAAGTTGTAGTTCTATCTTCTTTGGCTCGAAAATACGGATGCTGCATCCGGATGCATCGTTCACAATTTTAGATGAATTTTATTTGTCAATTTAGAAAAAATATTTCTGTTTGTAGTGGAGTTTAATATAGGTTTCCAAATTTGGATGCTACATTCAGATGAAATTAGCTGCATTCGGATTGTTCATAATTTTAGATACTCCATTTGTAAGTTTCGGATACCAATTCTGTTTGTAGTCGATTTCAATAATTTTGCCAGTTCGGATGCTGCATCCGGATACATCGTTTACAATTGTAGATTCAGCATCCATTTGTTAGTTTAGAAAACCAATTCTGTTTGTGGTGAATTTTAATAGGTTTCCAAATTTGTAATTCAGATGAAATTAGCTGCATTCGGATGTTCATAATTTTAGATACAGCATATATCCATTCGTAAGTTTCGGATACCAATTCTGTTTGTAGTCGATTTTTGATAATTTTGCCAATTCAGATGCTGCATCCGGATAAATCGTTCATAATTTTAGCTACAGCATCCATTTGTTAGTTTAGAAAACCAATTCTGTTTGTGGTGAATTTTAATAGGTTTCCAAATTCGTATGCTGCATTCAGATGAAGCTGCCTTCGGATGTTCACAAATTTAGATACAGCATACCTATTTGTAAGTTTAGAATACCGTTTTTGTTTATAGTGGATTTTCACAGATTACCAAATTCGGATGCTGCACTCGGATGTGTTCACAATTTTAGAAACAGCATCCATTTGTAAGTTTCGGATACAAATTCTGTTTGTAGTCGATTTTAATAATTTTGCCAGTTCGGATGCTGCATCCGGATACATCGTTTATAATTGTAGATACAGCATCCATTTGTTAGTTTAGAAAACCGGATTTTAACAGATTACCAAATTCGGATGCTGCACTCGGATGTGTTCACAATTTTAGAAACAGCATCCATTTGTAAGTTTTGGATACCAATTCTGTTTGTAGTCGGTTTTTGATAATTTTGCCAATTCAGATGCTGCATCCGGATAAATCGTTCAAAATTTTAGCTACAGCATCCATCTGGATTGTGAACCATTTATGCAGCATCCGGAATGGACAAAATTATTTTAAAAAAACTATATAAACAGAATTGGTATCCGATAACGATTCTGTTTAGAGTGGATTTTACTAATTTCTTCACCTACAACGAGATTCGACATTTATATATTATTCACAACTGAACTTTGCGAAAGTCGCTAGCGTGAATCTAATTAACTCTCTCTCTCTCTTTCTCTCTACTTAGAGAAATAGAAGATCAATAGTCAGTCAATTATGCAAGAGAACTTCCCGTTTGCCACAACGAACAGCACAATAGACTCTTGCCAATTTGCTCATCAGTAAAATCAGATCCTTCTATTTTTATAAAAATACAATTGTATTATAAAAATTTGTCTCTATTATATAATATACTTCTGATTTCTATTTCTCTAATTTCTAAATTATCTTTAAGGTAAATGTCCCAATTAGTGTCCTACTAAGAATGTAACTTTAGTTAATAAAGAAAAAACTCGATTTATATTCTTCCATGGAGATAATTTTTCACATTAATATAAAGGTAATCATTTTTTGAGCAGAAAATAATTTTTATTTGAGTATTATTATCAAAATATTTTAAATTTTCTTTTTTTTTAAAGTGATGTTATTGTACCAATTTGTGTCCGACGAATTTTAGGTTGCCCCTATTTGTGACCAGAGGTGTACCAATTAGTACTCAGCAGCCATATTTGTGTCAAGAAATGTAACTAAAGGAAATAGATGTTCACTATTTGGTACACAAACATAAAAATATGCTTTGTCCTAATTAG